CTGTTAAATTAGGCTTCAAAATGCTCCATTCAATGACTTAATCGACGTGTCTGAGACAGAGTCAACTTCCCACCTTTCTCAGATTTCATCTCACTGACCGAAGGAATTATAGGACCTGCAAACAAGATCAGTTAGAACAGCATTCGTTGTTTCAACGGTGTTGGTCTTCTACATCACAGATCACCACTCACCAATGTTGTCGACTAACTCTCGGATTCACAGTTAGGCGCCACTTCAGGATGTTGCGGAGGATGAGAATGAAAACTAAAAGGAGCCAACACGTGTTTCATTTAAACAAGCTGATACCTCAGCGCGGAACAAGTGGCTTCGAAATCCTAATACACATTGTACTGCAGACTACTCCAATCCGTATTCGACCCACGCGTTTCTTACAGCAGTGATAGGTGTATGGCCAACACCACTTTAGATTGTTAAGTTGGGGATTGTGGCGAGTAAAACGCACGCAGATTGAGACATTTGTGGCGGCCTGGAGGATGAGCGCCATGAGGGAGTACATGTAAGTACGGTCGGAAACCAGAAATCTGTACCAGATCGGCCGTAACGCAGGTGGTAACAGCTAATTCCGATGCCAGGCATTGTCTCGTGTGAGACTCTGGTAAAGCGATACGCAACCATTTATTGCTATTGGATAGAGCTAGGCTCAGCTTCGGTTTGATGAGGCTATCGCTATAAACCAGATGAAGTCAGTCGTGCGTGCTCAGAAATATTGTTTTTCAGTCTAAAGCTGACCTGCACATATGGCTGAACTTCCGTTATTCGTACCACACTTTAGACTTGTCTAGTCACACCCACTATTAGCTATTTCTGTGCATATCAGTTTGTATTATTGATGCTGAAGAAACAATACGAAATGCGTGCATCCACCAGCTTTTCTTTTCTCTTCATTCTTTTCAAACTGTTGGAGGTAAATAAATGCTTTATCGATAGCAGACATTTGCGAGTCGATGACCAATATAGGTGAGGCACACAAGTCTCCAATAATGCTAAGTAGGGGCACTCAAATGACAGCCGATAGTTGAGCACGCCAAAATAGGCGTTCATCAAATTTTTCCCACGTTCGCAGGCATCGACTTCCTAAGTTCTTTTGAAACGCGGCTATCCTCAGTACTTACGTGCTCGATTTCATTATCAGTGATTCGGTTTCAACTAAGTAGGATGAGGTTAAGTGGGTTCAAGCGAGAGTTTAACTTTTTAGACACCTGAAGAGAATTAAGTGACGCAGCTCCCGAGACAGATAGTTCGATAGAACAGTAATACATAAATTTCTCAGGCCTCGGCAGGTAGGAAAAACTGCTTCTCGTAGCCGACCTTCCGTGAACGTGAGTGATCGATCCGTGGCGAATAAATACGATTGACTGGTAAGGAAACGCGGCAGCACCTGGGCTGGTGCGGTGTCACGCTACCGAAGCGCCAGTGCTTACAACCTATAGTTTTACAGAATTTCGATGGCCAGTGGAGAAGAGCGCTGGAGTATTATTAGTAGTGTCACCGGGACTCACGTTAGTTGTAACTGACCTTCGATCAGAGTTTGAAGAGTTTATCCACATTTTCGACATCACTGCGTCGCGGCAAAAAGCGCTGCTACGATGCGGCCCTTGGATGTGCAGAACATGCTGACGAGAATCAGTGTTGTAGTTTATTAAGAGTCTGTAGAATCGTGCCTGCAGTGAAATATTGACACAGTGATATTCGCATGAACATGTGAATGAAGCCGATAAAAGCGTGATCCTAAGCCCAAAGAATTTGACACCCGCTCATAAGCCTATTGGAGTCAGTCTCCTAAGTTGATATGCTCAATAAGATTCGCGGTTAACGAAACGGTGAAGTTGCGTTTAAACGGGAGAATCTTTCAGCTTAATTTGCTAGCAGGCTGACCTGGAAATGAGTGTTATAGGCCGATTTCAACACCAGGACGCAGAGCAGAGCAAGTTGTTCGGACCAGTTTAGAAGAGACTCTATCGAACTAGATGAAGACGGAGAAGATCCGAAATATTCAACCTACATTTTAAGTACGCTAGTCGGTAAATTATGGGAATAGACAACAAAGGAGATATAGATGCTAGTGGAATACAAAAGCACTACAATTACTAGTTTGCTTCGAGGTGAATGCTCTAATAAGATTGTTAAGAAGCACATTTACATGGACGGTGATGAAACAACTACAGGTGAAGTAGCCAAGTTGGAAACTAGCCTCACAAGTAGGCGAAATATTCGCTGTAACGGCTTCCAAATATTGTGTCGTACATTGCTGCTGTTATGGGAAGCCGTGGCTCTAGGGATCAACCCTGTCCTCTACAATGCTTGTAAATTGCACGGTTACGACGGTCTAGCGCCGTCACCTATGGCCTATTGAACAATGCGCTGGTGTTGAGAGGTCATGGGTTCGGTTCCTGGTGGAGACGACAGGAGCGCATTACTGAGGATTCCCGATAGGACTAAACGATCGTCCTGACTTGCAAGTTACTGCTGTGTTACAGCCGAAACGCGACCTTTACCGAGACCTATGAATGACTTATCAGCTCAGTGACCAACCATAATTTGTGCGCCGAAATGCTGAAGATCTGGTAATCTCGTCGCACGCCATCGAAAACAATGGACGATAGCAAAACAACATGGGGACAATAAAATAGAAATGGAGAAAATTATATGCAGTAGATAGACCAATTACGAAGGAAATCAGCGCTGGATGGCTACTATTTTGATAACATCGACACACCCGCTAAGAGATCCAATAACTGCAGTGGCCGATCCAGAAAACGACAAGCCCTAACCCAATTTATTCTGTCAATATGACGAACACTGACCCATAAACGGCTCGCCAAAGAATCAGCCCGAGCATACAATAGAAGGATACCTAGCCGCAGTTTGCTGCATGTGGATTCCGAAAGAGATGCAAAGTCGAGTGACATGCATGCGGCTGTCCACTAGGGCACACTATAGAAAGACAGGCTAACACGTCTGCTGAAAGTCGCACCGGCACAATAAATGACGCAAGCCATGGATACGGTATAACCGGAGAAGCAAAACGTGTAAGCCCTGTTATTCGCACCGGAGATTGATAAGTACAGCTGTAGTAAGATGAAGGTGTCCTTCATGAGTGCTTCAGAGACACACCGCATATCAACTCTGAGAAAGTGTAAAATCATACTGAGGGTCGCCTGTGATCGGTTTGATACAAGGAAGGACATTGAATAACTCGACAACGAACAGGAACATGGGTCTGAAAGATGACTTATGTTTTTGTTAGCGTGGCCGATGAAGTTGGGAGAGCTCTCTTACTGCTTAGCCTGAGAAAAGAATATTCGTAAAAGAAGAGACAGGGGGAAAGGGTAACCGTGTATAGTGAGTATCTGACAAACTTCAGCTTCTCCGACTCTTGGTCTAAATGAGTCCGTGGATAAAAACGGACAATTCTCTAACGTCTTCAAACAGCAGCGGTTAGGTCTCTGATCCAAAATTAGTATTGTACACGCCGAAGCATGTTACACGTATCTGTTGACAAATAAACTTACACCTCGCCGTCCCACTGAATGATCGAGGCTTTGGAAAGTCTCTGGTACCAAACAGATGGGCACAGCAGCATATGCGCTAACGTGACACCACGGAGGGCGACCGTAATAAGAACACCATAATCGACGTAAAAATGTGCATGACCAAACACTAAGGGAATTGCCACCCACCCGTTTCTGTGAAATGCGTAATACATAGCAAAAGCGAAGTATAACTGTGGATCCACTTTCATCTATGTACAGGAAATGTGAGCAGAATTGTAATCACCTGCAACAGTCCATGAAATTCAGTGTTAAAATGCGATTATTTCTTTCTGTTGGTTTACCAACAGTGTAGTAACCACCTCGAATGATTTACATGGCCGTCAGTGAGAGAACACGAACAGCATCTGGACAAATGTAAGAGTTGAGTAATGGTTCACAAGAGTGGGTTAATTCACTTCACTTGATACCGAAAGGACGATACTCTCGATCGAAATTCGCGAATGAAATGCAGAAGCAAGCGGATGCAGCGCATCACATGGGAGCATAAGTGCACTGGACCAACGTTTCGAGAACGCCATGGTTTGTTCGCGCACTATGCCGTAGTTAGGAATAAGTTATGGCGATCCGCAGCCGTCAACCGTGGCTCAGTCACCTAAGTTGTTGACTCATAAGAGTAAGGTCATGGACTCCGGTCCGGCAGGGTCCAGCGGATGCGCGCTACTGACGAGTCTCAACAGGAGGAGACGGCCATCTGGCGCGTTATTGTATGTGTGGTGGCTGACTGAGTTTAGTTGTGAAAAATATTCTTAAAAAGAATAGAAATGTTGCTGAGAATTTTAGTGAAGACAAAGATGTTCAAGATCGCCTGCGACCGAGACCACATGTAGGATATGACCCATGACGCAGCCACTGTGAAACGAAAAGAAAAAGACGGAACAAGTACTGCTGTAGAGGAGACATACGTAAGCAAAAAATGCACCACCGTTGAATGGATGATTAAACACAATTTGAGATCAGAGCATTGTCAAGAGGGCACAGACGCGACATGTACTAGGAGGCATACGAAAGTGCGGAAAGGAGCTTGCCATCGCGGAGATGATGGATGGGGTATACTGTTACAGAATCGCTGGTATTATCACCGTGAAGATAACCCCAACAGAACACCATGTGACGGTAGCATAGAGCCGAAGATTGAGTTAGTTACATCGGTAACGCGGAAACCGAAGTCAAGTCGGGTACTTCACATGTGAATTAGGGGGCTGCACTCTGTGGACATTCGACAGCAGATCAATTGCAAAGAAGAGGCGGGAAACTTGCTACGCCAACCAAGATGCAAGTTTGGTGTCATAGAGTCGCGCACGAGTTGTTGGCATATCCATCCGAGGAGTATACATAAGAACTCCGACCGTGATCTTACTTTGTGAAAGAAACTAACGATCCGCGTCAAGATGTGCAAATATCAAACAACCGATAAAATTAAAACATATAAATATCTAGTGTTTTTTTTATTTTCAACGCTTGGTACAACGACCCTCCAACGGATGAAGCATTCTATTAAACCGCTGAGTCTAAAACAAAGACTACGTTGGACAAAAACCTCAGATTAAGAATCATCTTAAAATCACAAAATTGGAAATCGTTTTTCTCGAATCATGCGACAAGCAACTGCCGACCAAAAAACGCCAAGTGTGGGATTTGTAAAAAGACGATCAGTTCAAAACAGAACCACTAGGGACATTTTCCAGAAAATTTCTGATCGACGTGATAAACGTAGATTCTGTTTTTCCTTGACCTTTTGGCAGCCCAAGAGGCGCCGGTATACACTGTATTGATGCTTCCCTGCTATATAATAACGATCAATTAATAAAAGGTCAAAATAGAGCAGCAGAAAGGAATTGGAATTCAATTGGAAGCAAGGGGTTTAGGCATAAGAGTAATGATTGGTTGTAAACAATGCGTTACTATGTAAGGAAAGACGACGCAGGCATGGTAACTGTGCCTAGCGGAAGAGCTGTTCTGGAGAGACAGTATGAGTGTAAAGGGCATTTCACGAAGTAAGTGCATGTTGACCTCTCCGCTGACGGAAATACAGCAAAACATCCATGAGAAATGGTGAGGAAAGCAAATCATGCCTCAATTTTTAAACAAAATAGTGGAAAATAAGTAACGCAATCCTGAGCGAGACGGTAAGGGTAGCTGTTCCGCCGCAGAATGATTGTCACTTTCAGGTGGCATCAGCATCCTGATTCACAAAATCGGTTGACCAAATCCGCCTCCACCAGGCGACTGCAGAATAAACACATCCTGTATAGAAGGTGAGAGAGAGCATACGAATAACAATGTATCGCAATTATATTGGAATAATGACATTAATAGCGATAATAATAATAGCTGTTACACATGAGTACTTTATATTGATGCTTTGCCGCGAGAAAACTACAAAGCCGCTACTATCGAAGGGTAGAAATAAGGAGGAAAGAGACTTGAGGTAAAACCTAAACCATATGAGCCAAGCTTCAGAGTTAAGGCATCTACACAACGAACAGTCGCGAACAACCAGCTATCGCATAAAGGTAAAGTGGTATCAGCGAGACAATTTTCACGCGAAGTTTGCCGTCACATGTCCTAATGAACTTGAACCCCCCCCCCCCCCCAAGCATCATACACGATTCAAGTTCGCAATTCGACTGGGAGATGACTGTAAACGCTCCGCTGGTGTCGAGCACGAGCAAAATCCAGGTATGACAGCGTGGAATCCGATTTGGAATAAGAGACAGATCAAAAACACTCAAATAAGTGATCCGCGAATACACTTCATGTTAATCAGCATCAGATGAGATCTAATCGTCAGCGGACACGAACTGACGTAAGTTGAACAACTAGAAACCCAAAGCCGGGCCTAAGAGACTATAACGGCTCATCTAGATACTCTTGTCTAAGCGTAAATAGTCGGTGAGTGATCACTCTTCATTGGGATAGTAAAATCGTGGCGCTAAGCAATCAGGATTCCAAGCACATTACGTGACACTTTTCACCTCCGTTATGACGACCATGATATTCGGACACAAAGAAGTAATCGATTTCCCGTAGCTACTGCCGCAATATCAGCGCGCTACTTGTGCAATGATCTTCTTACACCGCATTCCATATGAGTAGTGCGGCTAACATCCTGCCATAAGAAGTTTGAGATCGGATGTAAAGGACGCCTCAGTGACAAGATGCAAAATTTGGATAGAAGAGCGGACAACATAATGAACAATCAATTAAATGGGTTTATTTCCCGACAAGCAGGATATGTTCGCTTTTTGTGGAACGATCGGTTGTACAGCGAGTATCGCTAATATTCTACTTACGAACTTGTGTTTAGTGTGGAAGAGTGATGTAATAGTAGATTAACAGGCAACATTACTGGTAAGTAATTTTTGTCATGTTTTTCTGACTGGCTTCCATGACTGTACTCGTAGATTGCTAAGGAAGAAACTGACCACAGTTCGCATGGAAGGAAAAGATTGCAAATAAGATTAAATATAGACAAGCCATCGCTGGTTCTTAATTGCAACAGTAGTTTATACCACAGAGGTGCGTACCACACTGGAAAGAAAGTTAACCGGATATGTTGATTGATCCGCTGCAAGAATGGTAGACACTTCCCAACATCATCAGCAACAGCAGTACATCAGCCATTTGAACTGATACTTTGCTGCCATACAACGATGATGACCGATGGAATAAAGAATAGTAAGAGGGAGAGAAGGGGGACTTATCTGAACATCTTAATGCCGTAAGCAAACTTCCACCTTACACCTTGTGTAAACAACTTACCGTCACAAACAGCTGGCTATCATGCAAAGAGAAAGCGGCATCGGCGAGACAGCTTCCTTGCGGCTTGCACTTCCCCGCGTCATAGTCAGCCAATACCTCACAGATAACTCAAGAACATACACTTTAAACAGGCAATCCGACTAGGAGACGACATCAGACGCATCACTGTTGTCTACTGTGAGCCATGTCCTGTAAAGTCTCGAGCCAAGCACAAGGCGAGTAACGTGGACTCCGGCCTGGAAGGCCAGATGGACCGAGCGGACCGAATTCAGTCGTGAATGACTTCATTTCCCACTGCCAAGTCAACTTTTGTCCTGCCTCGAGCCTTGCGCCGCCCTACATCTGGCAAGCAAAACGAGGCTCTCCTCAGGAAGCGGTGATCGAGCGTATGTAGTACGTGCCCAAGCCCACGTAAATTATTCAGTGCTCTGTTATTCTAATGAACTAACCTGCTTATCACCGTATAGCACTCGCCAACGCACAATTGCTTCAGAAGCAATTGTGATCCCGCTGTATGAACCGGAGCTGTGTTCAGAAGAAGCCAACTAAAGGCCTGGGACTACCCTGGCCCAAACGGCCGGCGACTTCTGACACATGAGGTCGGTTGTCGTGGTTTAACAGACAGTATTATCAGCTTCCAATAATTGCCCACTGTTCCTGCCCCCGACATTTTCTGGACCCGACTGGCCTACCAGGCTTCTCTGTCAGCGTTCAGGCTCTGCTTTAGTTCACGTCTAATAACCCGTCTGGTCACATTGTGCTCAGAGCCAGCCGAGAGTTTCTTCTGGATTCCAACAGGTTCACCGACCTCTCGGATATTCAGTGACTGGTGCAGTAACGGTTGATAGTATCACAGGTGGATGATTCTGAGACGCGTACGGCTGCCGAAATACTATTCCACTGAAGATCAATGTCAGTAGGACAATGGAACGAAAGTTCGGTATGCAGTGCATTCTGGCCAGCTTGACTGCTGTGATAATTTCCTAATTGCTTGGTGCGCCTCCCAAGAAAGTTCATTGAAAAATGACAGCGTAGCAAAATATGAGCAGGGTCGACGCAAGTACTCCAGAACCAGCGACAATACAGAATGGAACCACGCCACCTGTAACTTATGGCAATGTGATCTATTTGGGTCCATAGCCAAATGGCACTTCAGCGCCCACTGTGTTTAAAAGCGGTGCTAGTAAGAGACAGCTGGTGCTCTGCACAGTCGCAACAGACACGCGCAGTTGTCAGTGCGGTCGGAGTTAAGCCCATAATTAACACCTAGCTGAGCTTCTGAAGAGCCGAGACTACATGCTTGTGCATTCAGATTCCCTGCAAGTACTATGAGATCTGAACTGGGTAACACTGCGTAATAGCGCGCTCAGTTCGTGATAGAATGTGTCCTAGCTGTATCAAAATAGAGGTCGGTGAGAGCATAAGCGAAAATCACAAACAAACAGCGTATTGTACTACTTCGTGAATTAACCTTACTTGCTTAAATCAAACAGGATGTACGTAAACGGTTATTCACGGGAATCAAATCAACCAACGATGACTCAGCCTTGGAGCCGAGAAGAATGCCCACACTAGCATGACCAGTGGTTGCCGCATCAGTGTAGTCGGGTGCGTGCAACCAATAGCGAGATGACAAGCCGGCCGCAGTTAGTTCAACAACCCCATGAGGTCATTGACCCTGGTCTCGGACACACAACATGCATCAATACCCAGTGTGTACAAGGTGCGTGCGAGTGCAGTCTGTTGACTTAGTTGCCCTAGGGTGCGAACGATGTAGGGAAACGGGACAGCGTGGTCTTAGAAGGGACTGTTGCCGATAGGAGTCCGGTGATTGTTGCGAGAAGGTGGCTGTAGATAGTTCTATTCCAGTGGCACTTCGGTTGCTGTCAATTAAGCTCGGAATTATCGTGGAAAGGTTAGTAATGGGGGTCTGGTAGGGAGTAAGAGAAACAGGGAAAAGAAAGAATGGAGACCCCACCAGTAGCAGCATGTTTTCGCTTATCCGCCATGCTGTATGCAACAGATAAGGCAACCCTTGATAATCTGCGCGACGGCCGATGCAGGATGTACTTAGAGCTTGGGGAAATTGTTATGGTTATATGTGGGCTAAGATACTTTCAAGGCGTCCAGACCTAGACGGGAGGAGGATTAGAGTCCTTAACCGAAGCCTTTGGCTCAAATTCCTGTCCCCAAGGCAGCCGATGTGGCAACGATTCGGTTTTACAGTAATGGACACCATCCAATTTCAAACCCCCAAACCTAGAGGACCAGGAGATTGAGTTTGTCTGGCCTCTAGGCATTGACCAACTTGGAAGGAGTGTCTCTCGAGGGGCCCGGGGGCGCCACCCAGTACAGCACAATGGGTCGACGGGGTATGCAAACCGTCGCAATACGTTATGGTCTAGTCTCAATACGAGTGGAATAGGTTGAGCCGTTTTGTACAGCGACAGCCGCACTGACAGAGAAGGCTCGCGAGTATATTATGCTGTAGAGAAGAGTAAAAGTGCTTTTCAGCCGTCGAAGCCGGAGTGGGTCGGGGTGGAAGTAAGAGCATCGTTCCTTATAGGTAAGCGTTGATGAGCGGCCCATGAGCATTTTCGTAAAGGATCGCCGGACGTTTATCAAAGCAATTCTATCTGCTTTGAGTAAGTAGCAAGGTATGATGGTATAGTACTCTAGAATGGGTTGCACTATGGGTTGTAATCATTGAAACCGTGCTCGCGATAGTGAAAATGACATAGTGATGTAGCTTGTTAGTTGCTTCGCTTTCGCTACTTGATATAAGGCATGTTCGGGGAAGTTGAAGGTGCTGGAGCATCGAATTTCCAAGTCCTGAACGGAGTGCGCGGTGGGGATGGGAGTACCAGTAGCAACTAATGGCAAACTGATACAAAGAAATTGCTGCCGTACATTTAAAAGAGAAGGGGCACGTTAACTAGCAGGTGAACTGAAGACTACGCGAAAGTTGTAGAGGGCGGCAGCGCTGAGCAAAAGGGTCGTAATCCAACTGGAACCAAACTCCATCCTGGAAGGATCTGAAGCCCGACAGAGGTGAACCGAAACGACTGCCGTAATTTACTCGACGCAAAGAGCTTAGCGTCGAGGATGGGTGTCCGCTCTGAAGATCCTGAGCGATGAAACCACCCTAGTTGCAACAGCATGTCTTCAAAGAGATACACGAAAAACAACATACGAAAGTAGTTTGCGTGGATTGTAGAGTAGGCACTCGGCAAAGAACATAACGTCCGCCGTCGTTCTGTTTCAACGCCGTCAGATGACACATCTCCAAGCCAGCCTACCGAGTTGGTAGACTCGCAGAACTTCGGTCACTCAGAGGCTCAACAATGTCGCCGCTCAACTCGCTTACGCCGACCCGTCATTTGATCCCAGGCTAGCTGGAGTGGCCCCAACTAAAAAGATGAGGAATGTGACATTGTCGTGGTCACCACGGCTGTGGCCTGCCTATTAGCTGTCTACATTCGCCGTGTGACTGTCCACCGCCCAACCACTTATTGATTAATATAATCAAAGCGTTGTGCAAAAGGCTTTGCCTCCTGTAAACGTGAGCGACAAATCAGCACTTGCCAGACTGTAACATAAGGCCTGACCAGGGGACAAAAACAGACAAGTCATCGGCGCGCGTTGCAAACCAGGCCATAAGAAGTCATAGGTGAAAAGCAGAACAGACAACGTGTGATCCAATCTGAAAGGCGTGACAGAGCAACAGCACCTTAACTTTTGTAACTGGCCCTCTCTGTGATCATTATAGGTAGGAAATTCTGTAGAGGATAAGGATCGATTGCCTCCATAATCAGCCAAAAGAAGCTTTCTACGAGAAAATGAAAATTAAGACGCTTAAACATGGCAACCGAAGTTAAAACGTAGTTCAGGAAGATGAGTGATTAGTTCATCGAGTCAACGGTCCCAAGGGGAGATTCTTACTCCGGCCGAGAGATCGACTGTCGCTTTGCCCCCGATGTTGATGGGATGCGGAGAGCCGGAGCGGAGGAGGAGATTCAGTCCACGTTGTCCGGGGTTGCCACCTAGATGGGGAAAAGTGATGGGATTCATAAAAGGAGAAAGCTAGCTCCAGCAGTTTGCAGAGGTTAACAATAGTGCGTCTAAGTTGATAGGAATATGAAAATGTAAGTCTAAAATCAGTGATATCGGGTGTCAACCCCGAGGGATCTAGGAAATTTTTAATGTGACAAGTACAGAATGCATACAACATGTGGCATTCAAGTAGCCGGAAGATACGGAGCAGACTGAATGCCGATGATCTTCAGCTGCTTTGTAGAAACAGATGTCAAAATAGAGATGGACAAACAACCTTCTAGATTGAGAATTGAGGAAAGTTTAATTTATGGAAGCAACTGTGAGCAAGTCTAGCTCGATCCGGTGGGTGGTGGACTGCTCCAGGCGCTGAGCTTGTAATCCATGGATCACCGGTTCGAATATGCGTAGGTGTGGGTGAGCTCGTAGTATCTCAGCCCAAATGCAAACACCAGTTATTGTGTATCCGTAAAGCGACAGTATGAGGTCCCAGCGTACTGCTTGCATCACCTTGCCTATTTGCTACACGAAGTGGACAAACAGAGAATATAAAACAGACTCCGTAATGAGGGAGGTGATTAATTCCGTTCGAAACAACGTGAACGCATACGGCTCCGCGTAACGAGTTACACAGTCAGTGACCAATAAGATATAATGAAGGTTTAGAAGTGGACGGTTGATGAATACCAATCATATCAGGAGAAATACGCGAGACACAGTTTGTTTATTGCCCGAGGTTGAATCCCAAAAATTGAAGACCTTTTCTATCAGCCATTTCGATGAAGATAGTCATTTACTTTATTTCATTAGTCTTCAAGTTGTTGGTATTGTTCTGTCCCATTATCGTGAAGGACTAGTTAATGATAGTGTCCAGGGCACAAGTAGATCGCGAGATTGAAGTAACTTTCCGGGTTTCCAAAGTAGCATTTATATGTCGACAACCAATTTACGCAATCGCAAAATCGCTCAAATGTGCTGGAGCCACAGTCGAGGTTAAAGATCCTCAAGAATGCAAACACCAGGACTTCAAATCTTCGGTTGTGGTAGGCTTGTATGGAACAGCAGGGCTTACCACAAAGGCCATAAGGGGGGACAGCGCGGCGTTCACTGAGTATCGATAGTGTAACTGGATTACGAAATTTCAGCCGACGAATCAACCCGTCGCCTCCACGCCAGCGACCCACTCCGCCACTGCCATGCCGCAGAGAGAATCGTTCTAGAATGACGGGGTAGCTGTAAAACAGAGGGAATAAACGAGACCATTAAAAAGCCAGTAAAAAACAAACTCTGTAGTTGCCATAGGGAATACATGCGTAAGCTAAACAACTCACACTGGTTAAAGAGGTTGATGTGGTTATAGCAGCGAGACATGAAGTAAGACGGAGTGGGTCTAAATTAATACCTAAGAAGAACGAGCCGATGATAACCACTACGAAACGATACTCATTAATTTGCTTAACATTATGATGCTCAGCTGAAACTTATCACAGATAGGATTTTGGCCTATGCGAAAATCGAACCCGTGAAAACGTGATAGCACATCCGATGGAAAGGCGCCATAGATACAAATAGTCTGCCACGGCCGTCTCCGTTGACTTGAAGATGATTCTTAATCCCACTAAATGCTTGTTTGTAGTATTGTTTAATCGTGAATGGTGTATCGGAGAGATCGTTCACTTGGATGGAATATCTACATATCCGCTCCTAGAGTTGCCAGTGCGTCTATGGTAAACGCTCTCCTTAGACTCACCTTGACAAGCGGAGTGAACCGTGTGTTCTTTCAAACTGAACTTGATGATTAAGGAGAACATGAGAGGTCTTCCGCTTCGCTACTTGTGGGTTAAGGTTCTTGCATAACGAGAGACTACATGTTTTTACAGTCAATTGCATCTATCGCACATTTAAAATTCCTCATTACGAAAGCTATGTTCTTCCATAGATCTTTCAAGATGGTCATTAACGCCACCAAATTGTATCCAACGGGTTTAAACACCCCTAAAAGCGAGTACTGTTCGTTGATTAACCAATCCAGATCAGCCGATAGTAGAACAGACGAGTACACGGAGTGGGATGCTATCGGCTGACATGGAATTGGTCACTCAATGAACAGTAGTATTTACGGTCATTTGCGTCCGTTGGATGCAGCTTGATAACTTTAAGGACCATCTTGAGAGATTTATGAAGGAACAAGATTTCCTTAAGGAGGAATTTGCAAGCGCTATGGATGTAATTGACTGAGAAAGAGTAAACTTACGCCTGCCCATGGCATAAGCTTTCTCGGGGTCAAACAGTTGCCATGCAAGAGCTACTAGATGCGCTAACGCAGTGCCATACACCTCTACCTGTACTGCTGGACTGGTAAACATGCCAGACATCTCCGACACAGCCGTTAGGAGTGGCTAATCAGTTCACTTACTTAGGTAGCTGGATAAATTTTAGAGGTCAAACCTCCTAACGGGTCGATGCGCATTATTAAGGTGTCTGTGGCTTTGCTAATCAATATTCACATGTGGAGGCGGCATGATATTATGATATCAGCGGACGCTTAAGTGAACAATGTCTCAGTGTGGTCAGCATTATTTCATAGATCAGGGGCGTGTGCGCAGTAAGACATTAAGAAATCGTTCAGCCATGGTTACCGGTACTCAAGCTACAGTGAACGTACCGTGCCGGACTACCGAGTGACAACAATCAGTATGGAGTTACAATATGAATGCCTCTAAATCAAAATGGGGTACGGTTGGCTGGGGACTACGCTTTTCTGACACTTGTCCATACCTGCCCGTAGCCTAAAGGTAACAAACTTGTCTTGTAATCTGACGGCGCGGCTTCGAGCCTGCCTAAGGACCCTCGTAGTATCCCTAGCCCACGTGTAACTAGTGGTGGTTGTGCGTCAGCAAAGCGTCGGTAATGCGTACCGGCGTACTGGTGACGCCTTGCCTTGACACTTGTCAAGCCAGCTGATCTCGATGTGTACTCTTTACAAAAACTACACCCGATTGAGAGAAGCCTTAGGAAAGTCAGTGAATGAGGTTGCAAAAAATCATGAAGGAAGTGACCCACAAACTTGGGTGGGTTGGTGCATTTCGGTTCCTCGAATGTAGCGCATAGAGACCCTGTGCTATGAAGTGGTTGTGAGATACATGGTGTTCTTGCATTATGTCCACCATATGTACCCGTTAGTCTCTTTGTCTTTTAATTGGCCTTCATCCTCCTGCTTCACCTGACAGTGTGTACGAGTTTAATTGAACACTGTAGTTTCTACAACTGTTGCTAATTGTGGTAATTTTTAGGACTATATGGATCAGAATGTTTAGTTCATAGCTAGAGGAATGAACTGAACTGATCAGCTGTAGAGAGGCGTATAACTGTTGCGCGCGCATTAACCGGTTAGGAAATAGGGTCATGGGGAAAGGTGACGCGAGACTCACATATCAATGAAGCCATGTACCCGCATTTCAATGACAATAAAATCAATCGGGCGCATCGGACACTTAAAAGTAGGCGAATACAGTTACGAAACACTTGCAACACAGCCAGGAGGCCCACCGGTTGGGCACTCAGACAGACGGTCTAGTTAGCCGCTAGTAATTGACTCAAATATCTAAGCACAGAGTTTGCATGACGCTCAGCAAGTCATGTGAAGGTGGAACATATTTGTGTTGTGCTAATCAAGTTAGACTGTATATGATACCAACTATAGACAGGCAACACAAACCTACACACCACCTTCGGCTATCAAGTTATTTGGTGGAACTTCAAGATGCTTGAATGAGTGAACGACCTGCAGTACACATGAATTAACTGAGAACGACTCCGCATTGGCGTACCATTTGTTGTTTTGATCTAATGAAGAGAGTGAACATGGAACACGTCGCCTAAAGGACGAACGAATCGACTTGTGGAGAGAATCACATCATCATATGGGGGTGAAAGATGGCGATTCATGGCAACTGGAGCCGATGAGCCAATTAAAAGCCTGAGAATACCAGATGGAGATCCTGTCCATTAGGAGTTTTCAATAATGCGATATTCTCTGAGTAAATGGAGTGTAGTAAAGGGACCTTAAGCGCGAGAGACGATGCACTTGCCCACAGACGGTAATTGATCCAAGTAGAGAAGTGCGACATGTGGTTTGTTCGCTAATGCTACGAGAAACTTTAGTCTCACAGCAATTAGCATAAGTCGATGGCAAGCGTACGGCAAACATTTGCCAGTCATCATCATCATCATCACCATACACTAACAAGAAGTGGAAAACATCTCAGCTACTGTGTCTCAAAACATAAGAAAAGAAAGGAAAACCTACACCAGGTGCACGCTAGCTGAGCTACCAGTAACGGATGGGTATCGTTCCGGAAAGCTATCAGCCGACTACTATGCAGCGAAAAAATATCATGCAAAAATTGTATTATGCTAAAAACTGAGACCGCGGTTGGAGTGGAGGCCAAGCGAGGGGGGAGGGACAAAGAAACTCACAACACAAACAACATTGAGGTCGGCTCCTAGCCATATCAACAAGTGTATCCAGCCAAAGGTGTTCATCGTCTTTCGGACCCCAACCAGGGAGCCGAGCCGCTTCAACCGAAGCGAGCTCCGAAGTGAGGGCTTTCATTCCTCTCGTCCAAACCATCGCTTGGCCGCCTCTCCTCTTCTTCAGTCCACACCCCCGGGCGCGCAAACAACGCACATTGCGGCAGTCGGCATGCGTAACACGTGACCGAGCCATAGGAATCTGGTGCGTGAAATAGTAGTGCGGTTCACTTCTATTTGTGCCATAAACCAGTGCCATAAATCGGTGTTCCCACCAGATGTGAGTCAAACTGTGCAGGAACCGGTGGTCGGACGTAACTAGCCTCTTTATGTCTGACAATCTAATGGGGCCAGCTTTCACAACCGTACAGTAGAGTCGAAAGTACGACCGCAATGTGCACTCTATCCTTCGGGGAGAGAGTAATGTCGCACCGGTGCCAGAGGTGGCGGTTAGCAAAAGCGCCTCATGCTTTTGCTATACGGTTCGTGATCTCGTCTTCGAGCTCAAGAGCCCCAATACAACTTCTCAGGTGGATGAATTTTCTAACGACTTCCAGCTGATCCTTACCAAGGGTAAGTGGATGGGGCGATCCCTGCCAATCTTGGAGGAAAGCTATGCAATTCGAGGGTGCAAAACATGGAGCAAAACGGCTGACAACCGGTGCTTATCCCTCTAGTGTCGTTTGGCACGTTTGGGAGCTGTTATAGACTAGCAAACATTTGTGGGATACCTGATGCTTTGTAGCTAAAAAGATAAGCTCGAGAGCACATACTCCAACTAATCGATCAGCGTGCATAAACATTGCGGCGGAAAGGGACGGGCAGTTATGATGAAGGATTCTACTGATCCAAAACGACAGTACATCCACCGGCAGTGATGCATCTGCGGACAAAAGTACGCACAACAACTACAATCTATAGCTTCGGATGAGCAAAAATTGGGATAACTGTGAGAAGAACAAATAATTCGACATGCAAATGAGTCTATTTCTTACCGCAGCTCCAGAATTTCCGGATCGGTGATGCGTGTGTTCGTCATGTGCGTGTGAATCCCATTGCGACCGTGCCACCCTGGTCCCTGCGTAAAGAAAGAACTGTAATATTATCAAAATAGCCGCCACATAAGATAACCATAGTTGGTAACCAAGGTTAAAGCATATTAAATGAGGCATTGGTCTTAAAGCGGTAGGGTAAATGCGTCAAAAGATGATTTACGTTGCATAAAGACGCAGTCGCAGCAGAAGCAATTACAGCCGGAACTGTGCAAACAGCGGGTAGTTGTGCAAAGGTTAATCCTACCACGATAGTAGTCTGATCGGAAGACCTTAGGCATAGAGTGGGGTTAAAATAGGATTGACTGTCGCAGTTGTTTAGATCCAAATTCTCCCCGTCCCCGCAATCAAAGCAAGCCCGTCAAATCCTTGCTTCTCTAGTAATGGTTTCTGTTTCAATGAACAAGTATTTCATAGTTGTGGTTGCCTGACGAAAGTAATCGAAAAGAAATTTTTATTAATTACCCTTCTGAGGTTTAAATGGGCATAAGTTAGGAGTTGAATGTTTATTCTCCGAGGCAGATCGCAGATGTGGTACGTAGAGAGATCGAATGTAAGGCAAGTATAGATGTGCTGAGAAGGGTTGCGAAACAAAACACTAATATTTTTGAAGACGGTTAAGGAAAAATGGGTAGAAAACGCATTGATAAGGAAGGTGTTGTGTAGCGAACATTGATGAGATAATTCTTTATATATATTACAACTGAGCACTGATATCCGTCTTTAACTTACGGCTCCAGCTCCACCAGCGACGGTTTCGTAGTAGACAAACTTGTTTGTGCCGAAGGTAAGATTGTTCATGCAACCCTGGCTTGCGGCGCACGCTCGGAATGCACCGAGAATCACATCGACAAGACGTTGAGATGTAATTACGTTACCACCGACTACAGCTGCATTGGGCGAAGCAGACAATATGGTACCAGGAGGCACGGTGAGCTGAAGACAAGCCACGAAAAGTGGTAACTAAGCACTGATTGATAAGCAGCAGACGAGTTTGTGCAATGAAAGTGAAGCATGTCAAGACGGTCTTAGACCCTACACATGATAATGAATTCCTAAAGATGCACGTGTTGCGTCCCACAACAAATCGACATTCTTCAGACTAAATATGATTTTGTCGATTCGTCGGATTTCTGACGAGAATCAGCGAGTAAGTACAACCAAAAGCGTACCAGATATTGGAAGGGTTCACATCCTCAACCCACTCCTGCAGTAGGTAAAACATTTCCGGACTGCTTCACATCATTACGCTTCCCATGTACTCTGGTGGCTAGAACCTGATCAAACCAATGTGGACAGTTCGAGTTCAACAAACCTCCTGGTGAACCACTACGGAGGATATTGATAGAAAGCCAACACTACTCGGTCGATGGCCAACACCAGCTATGGATAGAAAAATACGGCTAACATCTAAGTTACTTGTAAGTAGGGATGTTATAGTGCAAATTTATTGCGGGTTCTTTGCGACATCTGTAAAGGCTGCCATCGGGCAGCCACAGACTGTCATGAGTTACAAGCTAACTGAGATTTAATGCGGCTCACCGTCCACTGCCATGTAAGTTACGAACTTTACAGGGAACAGGACTGACAGGAGGATACGTATATCAAACGAATCCCAATAGGACGAAATAACAGCCAATTGCTTTTCCGGAGGCGTGGGAGGATAGCTGATAGGATGAATCCTCAAGAAAATGATCTTTTAGTGGTTTAACAGCGTAGTACCCGCGTTCTTTATACACCCACCGAAATCAGTCAACGGTTGTGGGAGGTTGGCTAACACACGGAATGGATAATGGATAAGCCCGAAAGCATCGGAAAAGAAAGCAATTCATGAAAACGAGAATCTAAAACACCGACGAAGCGGAAAGTACCTTGATCGGTTTCAGACAACCGTGATTCAGACAGATGTCGCCGCCAACAAGGGACCGTAAGGTATAAAATAGACAAGAAAGCAGTACTGCTCGAGGAGTGTTCGTATTACCAAGCACTTCGGGTCCAGTGCCAGTGAAATCGAAGTGAGCGGATCCTGTTTGAGAGTCAATCGTGACGCGGAGGTGTATTGGAGTCCCGTCGTCCATATAATCTAGCATGGTGAGTGCGTTCGGAGCGGGGACAGATGATTCGGACTGAGATAGTGTGCTGGAATCAGCGAGCTCAGTGTCGGTGTACGTCGAGGCATGCAAAGATGCAGTCTGTAACATGTGCCGCACAGAACGCTCTGCGTTATCCTAAGGTGAACAGATGAAACAACAAAGCACTGAAGACAGCAGAATGACGTGACGCTATGGCACGATCAGAACAGTAGGTAAATCCAGGAATGAAGATTTATGGCAATAAAATGTAGGTTCGTGCACAGCCAAATGGGTGCATAGCACCAACCAGGCCTGTCGCAGGTCAAAAGAGCTCATGGCACAGATACGGACCTGGGAGCATTTAGATAATTTTTGAATAAGAACGAGTCTTAGACAGCTGTGGAGAAGCTTAGTCACACTATTACCAAACATACAGGAGGACACCAAAAAGACGTCGTATATTCCATGAGTCTGTTTGGTTTACCTATGTTTTGTTTACACCAGTAACTATGATCCGAGCACAGAGGTGTTCTAGATCCAGCTGGCCATGGCACTATCAGGAGAACAATGGTCCATAGTAAGAAAAAGGTAAAATGCAAGAGAGAGAGGAGAAATATCGACAATTAGATACAAGGCAGTGTAGAGAGCAGCGCTATTGACTGTGCGAGTGCTCCACGTCTCCACCCACTGATGTGGCTCATCCAGACGTGCCCATTCATGCGGACGGAAGTAAAGGCCTCACCAGGTCTTACGGTCAATTTCTTCATGCCATTTAGAGATTTTGTCCAAGTAGGCGTGACAACAACATAATGGACGCCGAGAAAGGGGTTTAACGGACATGTAGAAGAATTGTCCTATACAAAGTAAGCGATACGAATTCGACAGACGTTTTAACGGACGCAGAAGGTTTCTTGCTAAGCACCAACGAGTGGGCTTCAGTATTGCTCACTCAGGATTCCAACCAGATGTGGCCAGTACTCCACAACCATCGGCGATCAAAGAAGACTAAGCCATCAAAGTTTTCGGTGAAAAGTGGCAATGTTTCTGATCCACACAGTAGCACTGAGCTTATGGCAACGTTGTACACTCTGCCTGACAAGTTGATATCCTACCGAAAAACCACACGATTTCTGTTGAGATTTGAAGTAACCTCGTGAATGAGGTGACCTCTGGGGATGGTAAAGTTACCAGGGTAATGGGACGCGGATATACTAGCTACAGTGGCTGTGCAATGAGGTCGGAAATCGGTGGTGTTTCGGCCCAGTAGTGCGACAGCAACATGAATTTCGGTGGAGTGGAGGATATACCGTAGCACGCAGTACGGCGTGTCAAGCCATTCAGATAAGCTTGTACGGAACAGGTCCAACACAAGGAGAGCTAAGTTAAGCGTATACTCTAAATTTGTCGGTTGGTCAACTGGTAGGACTTTGGCTGCAACAGAGCGTGAAAAAACAGTCCTCAGCGAACTGAATCTTCCAAGATGGGAGATGGACCGTCATGTGGATTTTGTGGAAGATGTCATTATGTCCGACCCAATGGCTTTCGAATGCTGAAGGCAGATTTAAGTAGTGCCGATGATGACAAATTCAGAAAGTGAAAATGACAGCCAAGTAGATAAATGTTAGGCGTCGCCAGCTAAAGCTTTCAATCAAAAGCAAGATTGAGACTGCGTCTCATAATCTACTCACAGAACTTGTGCTTTAAAAGGACCCCTTCAATCTGTCATTAACCGCCGTGACAAGCTTTGCGCGACTCGACACGGTGGCATAAGGATAGTGGTGTCGGCTAACATCACAAAAGTCCCAGGTTTGAGTGCCTGCTGTCGCTACCTGATGAGATTAATCAAGTTCGAGACCGGTCGTGTAGTGCAGGGTTTTCCAGGGGGGGGGGGTAACACCCAATATCCACCTGCTTCAGTTCCCACCACAATAATAAAATTGACCAAGGTTCAATTAAAGATGGAGTTAGCTCCATATTGGGATTGTGCGCCGCAATTCATTCACCAAACAAGTGCTTCAAAACGACTCCTTCAATGGCAGCTAAGGAAGTCACATTGTTCATCCCCCGCTAGGCAAGGAAGAACTGAATGCTATTCCACAATACATGTCCGCTGATATCCATATTTAAATCTATAGAGAAAGTTCGGATGTTTTGTGACAAGCAAGGCGGAATCGCAACTTAGGTATAAGACAATGTTCGATACAAGTACACGAAAAACTACGTTTTGCAATAAAATAGTTGAGATGACGCAGGAGCTTACCTGAATATAGTGCATATAGGCTTGTACGACAGATAACCCATACTCCTCAATCAGCTGCTGCAGCAGAAACACGCCCTGAAACGAGGATAACACACAAGGAAGTTGAGTGATAAAACGGAAAGGCATGCGCGGATGAATGTGGGTTTGTGGGGTTAGAGGATAAATGGAATGAAAGGGCATCAAACATTAGACTGGTTGGACAGGTTATGGATTTGCGAAGCTGCGCGCCAATTATAACAGAGGTAGGACACAATAATCCAAGCGCTATGTCGAGTGAAAAGTGTGTCCTCAAAAGACAAAAGGGGATGGAGTTTATGTCATTACATCAGAAAGTCGTGATTGAAGCGATTTCCTAGGGTCGCACCACTGCTAGAGGAATTTTGGATGAAAATTTTTAACGAACGTTGATACATAGATAATGTTGGCGGTCTGGGACGATGAGATAAGGCGTTTGAAACAGTGGATTGTACTGATTGATTCGAAATTAGGTCAGATGTGCCAGTAAGTTTCTTGCCAGTAGCGTGTCAGGAAGACGAAGATTAACAATGATAGGTTCATTAAGCTCTCTAATGCATGTGGACTAAAGTGTAACATCGGTCAGACAATTTTTGAAAAACAGCTCTCAATGAAACGGAAAGTGGACCGTAGAAGCGGAGAGAGATTGACACTTCCGGAGTGGTGGAAATTCTCAATGAGTTGTGGAAAGTTGTAATAAAGCTATAAGATTCTAACGATATTCGCTAGACACAGTGTGAAGTCCATAAATTTCCAGACTGAATAAAGTGTTGTAGTGGATTGTGAATAAGTAGTGCATTGTCATTAACTAAAAACTTTAAATACTGAAGTAAGACCAATATATTCTAGCAAGTTAGCAACCAAAATCAGATAGAAATATCTGATTCCAACTCGTCCAATCTTTACAAGCGCAGTTACACGGTAATCAAGGGAAGAAACCAACCATACATACGGTCGAAAACCATGCCATATGCATTATTTGCGTTGTCCAAACGGAATCATCGATGCCGTAGGGTAAGTATAGACGAAAAGTCAAGTTCTATCGAGATGCAGCGCGCAGCCATGTGAGCAGAAGCTGTGTTCGATATCGGATTTCGCGGAGTAGTCGTACAGCAATAACTGTGGCAAAAACGAGATAACTAACGACAATAGATGTGAGAAAAGTGAAATTGCACTGAACCCATGATGAGTTCACAAGGGCGGTGGTAACCGCTTCGTCTACATCTGTTTGGACTGTGGAACGACAGAGGACCATGAAAACGGTTTTCAGTGAGTCGAACTCAGAGAACTGCCAAGGGAGAGGAACAAACTAGAGACCTGAGAAGGACATGTTGAGCAGTGTGTCAAAATGACAGTTGAGTCACTGGCCGATTTGCAACAGTGCCCTAGATGCTATTACCCACACAGTCCAGTGGTAGTTGGTTGTTCTGGTAGAGTAGACAACGAGGGAAACATGTAAGTGGTGATGTAGTTTTTCTTCGACTGGCGCATCAGCTGGCATAAAAATTGGATTGATGGTTACTCGAAGGCCTGAGTGATTGTTTGGAAGGTCGCATGCAAGATGTGCAGCGGTCTCCTAAACTTATCGATGCTCACCGACATATTCCGGCTGGAAGCGAACACAATGAAACTCGCAAAGAGCTCCGGGTAAAACTTCTTGCTAGACTGAAGTGAGACTGCGAATCTTGGTGGTAACTTCGTAAGTCAGAGATGGAAGTAGAAGCTGTCCCCGGAAACCATTGAAACTTATTCGGTTTGATAAGGGAAACGGGCATCAGAAGACCTGGTGTCAGTGAAACAATTTGTGACGAGAGTGGACAGCCTATCCACAACTAGTGAAATTGCTTACAGCGTTGGGTTGAGCACTATGAAAGGCAATTTAATCAGTCGGAATTATTTGATTCCTCACCGGCCAGTGATCGCCCTACTCCATGGGCTGTCCCTTTGGATCCGCCCTCTCGCTCAGAAGTCGAACGTGAGATCGGGCTGATGAAATTGAATAAAGCCGCGGGACCAGATGACCCTCACCCAGCGCTCTTCAAATCCGGTGGCCCTGTTCTTGTTGATGATTTGCATGAATTACGAGTGAAACTGTGGGAGCAGGAAACTGTCCCAATCGACTGAAGCCGCTCCGTTATTGTTCCCACCTTCAAAGGAGGCTCGCGTTCGGAATGCGGCAACCAAAAAGGAATCAGTCTGATCCCCACCGCCACAAAATTACTTGCCTCCGTACTTATTCACAGACTGACTGGCACTCGTGAAAGCCAGTTTCGTGAGGAGCAAGCCGGGTTTCGTCGGGGTCGTGGCTGCATCGACCACATCTTCACCTTGCGTCAGTTGTTGGAGCACCGTCACACATATTGGCGACCCACCGTAGTCCTGTTCCTCGGCATCAAAGGTGCATTCGATTCGGTTGACGGATGAGCCCTTTGGGACTGTCTACTCAAGAAAGATGTGCCCGAGAAATATGTTTATATTATCCGAGCATTATACATGCGTAGCACGGGCAATGCGAGGGCTAACGGCAAGCTGGAGCCGTCCTTCAATATCTCCAGCGATGTGAGACAAGGATACTCGCTGTCACATTTCCTCTTCAACTTCGATGTTGACGAAGTCATGGTGGTTGCATTTACAGGACACGACTTAGGTGTGGAGCCACTCCCAGAAGAACCACTTCTTGACTTGGAGTATGCAAACAATATTGCCCTTATCTGTGCCACTTCCCAGACGTGCCAAGCTAAATTAGACAGATTATCACTGGCTGTCAGTCGCTCCGGCCTTTGCTTTGCACCATGGAAGTGCAAAGCTTTCTTCCAAGATTGGTAGGTATCGCCTTTTGCGCTGACCCTTGGTGGGGATCAGCTAGAAGTCGTTCGAAAATTCAACCACCTGGGAAGTTGTATCAGCGCGCTTGGGATCGAAGAAGAGATCATGAAGTGTATAGTAAAAGCTCGAGGCGCTTTTGCTAGTCTTCGCCACATATGGCGCCGGCGCGACATCATTCTCGCCCTGAAGGGTAGAGTGTACAATGCAGCGGTACGTTCGACCATCGGTGCCTTCGCAGTCTGGCTCACATCTGGTGGGAATAGCGGGTGAGCAACGAGCGTTTTCGACGCCTTGTTTACGTCATAGGAAAAGCAAATGAACCGCTCAGCACCGTCATTTCACGCACCAGGCTCCGATGGCTCGAACATGTGGTACGCATGCCAGCCCACCGACTCCCGCGGCGTGCGTTGTTTGCGCGCGGGGGGTGTGGATGAAAGAAGAGGACGGGTGACCAAGCGATGACTTGGTCGAGAGGAATGAAGGCCCTCACTACTGAGCTGGCCTCGGTTGGAGCTTCACGGTTCCCTGGTTGGGGTCCAAAAGACGATGAACACGTTTGGCTGGATACACTTGCTGACATGGCTAAGAGCCGACCTCAGTGGCGTTCCTGCTGTGAGTTTTTTGTCCTCCCCCATCCCTTTTAGCCCCCCCCCCTAAAACCACGATCTCATTATGTAGCGTAATATAATATATAATAATTTGTTTGTTGCGTAGTAGCCAGCTGGTAGCTTTCCGGAATGATGCCCATCAGTTTCTGGTAGTTCAGCTGGCATGCAACTGTTGAATTTATTTTCTTTCCGTTTTATGTATTGCGACACAGTAGATGAGATGCTTTACACCTCCAGCCAACGTGTATAATAATGATGATGAATAAATTAGCAAAGCCTCACTAACTGCCAAAATTATCGGATTGTTGTTGCGTAACAACACCTTGAACGCAGTCTCCAGGTTTACTTGATGTCGAGTTGCCAAGTAAGGCTTGGTGATAGATGATGATGGACTCCGGTTCATCTTCGGATCCACTCCGTTTTGTTGCGTCATCAGTTATGCCAACTACCTCCAACCACATGTTCAGCTACCCTCTGAGCTAACTGACGGTCAGTCCTGATTATGTAAATGTCACTGCATCCGCAGATGAACTGGTAAACGACGTGAGAGGCCGAACTGACTGATGAGTTGCTCTGACGGTCATGAAGAACAAGGCTTCGTATGAGTCGCAACTGGGTGGTCGTGTAGGTGAGCGTAAGGGCGGACCGGAGTTTAGGTGCGATATCATTTGATACATGAAAAAATCCGCCAGTATAGGGCCCAGCGGTTGTCACAATTCAACAATTGCAGAACTAACACTCAGTGAGTGGCTCGTAGCCGAACTATTGCTAAGCAAAACACGTTAGGTACACGGAAGACAAACTGTATTCTAACCAGCATGTTGTACAGCGCATCGATGCACCATTCTAAATTAGGCCAATCGATAAGTGGGTTAGCGGGTTACGGATACACGCCAGCAGATGCAGGCAACGAATACGAAGGGCTCAATACATTGGCCGTGAGGATGCCACATTACTTCTTCCTTTAGATTGAAGCACTCCAGCTAGCTTGGTATCGATCGACGGGCCGGCGTAACGGAGTTAAACGGCGACATGGCTGAGGCTCCGGTTGTCCTGAGGTTTGAATGACCTGTGCCTTTGTCAACGCAGTATGCTGGTTTGAGGACCCGTCATCTGGCGGAATCAAAACGCAACGATGGTGGACATGTTCCCTGTGCCGAGTAACTACTAAGTCATCAGGTAAAGCCACTACTCTATGTTGTTCCGCAAGTTCGCGCAACTCTCTAGACTGCCAGGTCGTTTCGTGGGGCACCTTGACGTAGACCGGTTCATCATTCTCGCAGAACCTGCGATCGGAAGCCTTCTGGTTGTACTCTGCCTTATATTTATCTTGCTTAGCCTCGACACGTAGACTCTGGTCAGGAAACAGAAGATCCAGCCGTAACTTCAACCTCCGTACGAACATCAACTCGCCTGGGTTCTTTCCAGTAGTTTCCTTTAATGTGGTGTAGCAGTCAAAAAGAAAACTTTCCAACTTTGTTCGCAGTGGAGCAGAGGCTACTTTCCGTAACCCGTACTTGAGCGTCTGGACGGCATTTTCTTCCAACCCTTTTGAAGCTGGGTGGTAGGGGGTTGATTTCACATGATGTATACCGTTACTTTTGAGGAACCCATGAAATGCTTGACTAGTAAACACAGAACCGATGTCTGTTACCAGCGTATGTGGTATTCCGAAGGTACTGAAACACGTCCGCATGCAAGGAACGGTCGTCTCAGAGGTGACATGTGCAAGTGGGAAAAGTTCTACCCATTTCGAGTAAGCATCAATCATGAGGAAAAACATTTGTCCATCCAACGGGCCAAAGAATTCTGTGTGTGTACGTTTCCAAGGTGTACTGGGCCATTTCCAAAGACTAAGTGGTACAGGTGGGACGTTCCTCTGAGCGTTTAGACATACGTCGCATTGTCGGATATTTTTGTCAATATTAGGCCACCACACATAGGATAGCGCAAGTACCTTCATTCTCGTGATTCCTGGGTGCGTTTCGTGAAGTTCTTGTAAGATATTCTGTCGCCACTGTGGTGGCATGATCACTCTAGCGCCCCAAAGCAGACACCTATCCTTGAGACTAAGCTCTGTGCGTCGGACAAAGTAAGACATTAGCTACGGTTCACAGCTGTCAAGCCATCCTTGAGAGACTACGTACTTGATTTTGACCAGTAAGATATCCCGTTCAGTTTCCTGACGAATATCTGTATTTGATACCAGATTTCCGCCCAAAGGTTGCAACAGAGAGACAAGCTCCACAGATTTAAGTATGCAATCCAGTAGGTAATTCAAAGGTGAACGGTCCAGAACGTCCGTCATTGTATTTGCTTTCCAAGGGGTATAGGCGATCTTGGAATTCAGTAACTGGAAAATTCCCATTTAGTCATCAAGAACAAGGCACCAAAGGTAAACAATTGTTTTCGATGAATTCCTCGTCAGACCTGTACAATCATATGAGTAAAGAGCAACGGAAGTAACAGTGGTTTCGATCAGTTCAAATGAAATTGGATCACGTGCCAACCGGGGCATAAACCAGCAATAAACCTAGACGATAAGCGCACACTAGGGGAAAGATGTAGTCAAATGATTCCTTCCGGCCTCCGAATCGTCCACTTTTTCTGGCCATGGTAACTTGAGAGCTTCGATCAGTTTCTTTCGTGAGCACAAAAGCGGTTGATACAACCGAATACTGATCGCCTCAGCTGTAGCGAGGGTACGGAGGCGCAGGCCTTTCGATTGGAGTGGCGGAACTTTGGAGAGTATTCGAAAGGCGCGGACTGGATCGACTTCGTGCCCACTATCAACTAGATGAGCCATAATAGAGCTAGTTATAGCCCCGGTACCGCCTCGACGCAACCAGCGTGGAAGGTGCTCATTAATGCGCTTTGACAAGTGCCGAGCAGTTCGACCGATGTAAGTAGCGCCACAGGCGCACTCGAACTGATAAATGACCATAGAAGCGGTCAGCATCGGCAATTTGTCTTTGTTGCAAATGCGAATGAGGGGTTCCGTTGAGAAAGTACACTTGAGCTTAGTAGCTGGAAAAGTTGACTTAACGGCTGTAGAAAGGCTTCTGGCTATACGTTCGGCGGCTGCGTCTCCTTTGAAAGGTAATCTTATCAATAGTTCTTTCTTCTCAGGGGTTAGAACCTGCACAGGGTCGGGTTTCTCTTGCATGTTCTTACTAATGAATCGATCAGGATACCCATTTTCGCGCAGCACATTTTGAATGAACTCCAACTCAGTATCCAACGTGTCTTCAGAACAAATCCTGCGGGCCCTTGTGGTTAAAGTGCGAATTAGGTTTCGCTTGTATCTCAAAGGAACGAAACTATTGAAGTTCGTATACTAGCCACTCCAGGTTTTCTTTCTGTAGACGTGCCGTTGGATCGAACAATCTATCCTATGAGTTAACAATACATCAAGGAACGGTAACCGGTTGTTCACTTCCTTCTCGCAGGTAAACTGCAATGCTGCGTGGGCCTGATTAAAGCGTTCAATAACAGCGTCGATGTCAGTGGACTGATCGGCCACAACAAATATGTCATCCATATAGCGATGATAACAATCAAAGGTGGTGATCTCCGCATGTAGTTTGGTGTTCTCTAGTTTTGCCATGAAGACATCAGCAAGCAGCGGACCTAGTGGCGATCCCATGGCTACACTATCTTTTTGACGGTAGTAGATGCCATTGAATAGGAACTGTATGTTCCAGGTGCAACGCAAAAGGAGACTTTTCAAAGCATGCAATGGTATGCCTATCATTGTTTGTGTTTTCTTGATGTAGGTGCAAATGTAATCAATTGTCTCGAGAAGTGGGACGTTGGTGAAAAGCGAGACAACATCCAAGGAAAACGTTATTTTCTTACTGATGTTGCGGTCCCTGACACTTTCGATGAAATGAAAAGTGTCACGAAGGCTGTAATGTGTAAGTTGCTGTTTTATTGGCTCAAGAATTTCCACAAGCCATTGGGCAACAGAATAGTACGGCGAATTAACCACTCATAAGTAACCATTGATAAAATTGGGGGAAGTGGGACATCAGTCTTATGAAATTTAGGTAGCCCGTAAAGCCTCGGAACATTCGTGCTACTCGACTTAAGGCTGTCATAAAGAGTATTTGAGATGTATCCGCTATTCCGAAGCTCTTGCAAGCTCTTAGTAGTCTGCTTTTCGGTTCGCTCCGTTTGATCTTTTTCTCCAATTGTTCGGGAAAATTTTGTTTCATCACTCAGAATTCTTTCCAGCTTGTTTATATAGTCGTCTTTGTCCAATAGAACGACCCCAGTGCCTTTGTCTGGTTCGCTCAGGAAGATCTTGTCATTGCGCCTTAAATCCTTCAGTGCATCAAAGTGCTTGCGTGTCAGTGGACCATGATTTTGAACATGGCACTTACGATACTGGCAGCAATTGTTCACCAGAGAACATTTGAAGCGTTCCAAGTCCTCATTAGACTTTGCTGCTAACCCTTTCGTTTGAAGAAATAGGCTTTCAAACTGTAACTCACAGTGTAGCTGATTATCTCTGTGTCTGGGGGCGCAAAATTTTAGACCAAGTGATAGAACTTCCATTAAAGTAGAGTTCAATTTCAGCCTTGAAAAGTTATGCACGTACCTGTCAGGTCTACTTGGGAAAGTAGATTGCGGTTTAACCTGGTTCAACGTCTTTGTTAAGGCCAAACGCCTTTGTCGTACACGGTTTGCGGTGATAGACTGAACGTATTCCAGGTATGTTTGTTTTACGTCCAACGTTAACTCATCAATCGCATGCTGGCGCTGCGCCATATTGCGCTCGAATTCGGCAATTTTGGATTACACCGTGTCACGCTGGTTCAAAGCATGCCGTCTAAGCGTTTTGGCGTTAGGATAGATTCGACTGCGGCGTAAATGCTCTCAGAATCTGCTAGGATATTCATTGCGTTCAATGCAATCATTGAATTGTAGGCGGACAGCAATAAAACCCAACGTTGCATACGAGGTGACGTCATCTGATTTATGCCCCTTTACACATCAAGTAGAGCTAACAAAAGCTTGAGGAGTGAAGATTTCAAATTTTCATCTCCACAGAGACTCCAAAGATAACCGCTAAAGCTTGCCTGTCGAGCTGCGCATAGTTGTTTTACGCTAACGCAAAACTTCTGGACGCAAAAGCTATTGGTCGCTCGGTCATGTCTTCCATTTGGCGTGATAGTACGGTCCCGAGCCCTGTGGGTGAAGCATCGCAACGAAGAGTGTTCGGTTTCTTTGGGTCAAAATTCACGAACAAGTGCGTTGCTGATAGCCAATCTGACAGCATCGTAAGTTTTTTGTTGTTTATTGGACCACAGCCACCTGGTATTCTTATGAAGCAAAGTATACAATGGTGCTAGAAGACTAACCAAATTGTGTAAGAAACGACTGTAATGGGTTACCATCCCAAGAAACGATTGCAGTTCGTTAATATTTCGGGATGTTGGAAAATCCAAAATGCCATTGACTTTCTGCACCAAGGTGTTGTCTCTGTAGTTTGATCGATTGGGTTTCATTAAGTTCGATGTGGGGTGTGTAATTGCGAAAAGAGCAAGGTAGTCGCAGAAGGTTCATTTCCAACGATTCCAAACTGCTAAGGATGGCCTGGACGGTATGTCCTTTCAAAAAAGGGGGAAGATGGCTTATAGTAAATAATTTAAGTTTAACCTCCGTCGCCCAATGTCGCAGTTTAGCAATTGCGGAACTAATGCTCAGTGGCTGGCCCTTAGCCGAAGTATCGTTAAGCAAAACACGTCATGCAAACAGTATTCTAAGCAGCATGTTGTACAGCGCATCGATCCACTATTCAAAATGAGGCTACTCGATGAGCGGATGGACAGGTTAAGGACACCCGCCAGCAGATGCAGGCAACGAACAGGAAGGGCTCAATACATTGGCCGTGAGGATGCCACAGGACTGCCTGCCATGTTCCTGAAGTGAAGGTCGACATTCTCTATGCACAGAAATATTGATCGCCCTAGTAAATCTACTGGTATCGATTACGAGCATCCGGAACGTCTTAGCAGTTCACAAACGTGGTTAAAGGTCTGATGCAGCGAAACGTTATTAAACAAGGATTTTACCTACTCGTGAGAGTGATAATGAAGTGAAAGTAAAAGTGAGGGAACAAGAAGCTAGTACGAAGCGAGTGAATGGCGGGTAGCCTACCTTCTGATTGGCAGCGATTTGAGCCCTCAAATCGCTGAGATTGTCGGAAAGACTTCGGGTACCTGAGCATCCCGAGTACTGAGCCGGAGCCATGAGTGCAGCAGTCACAGCTAAAAGGGAGAGTCGAGAAAGTCTAGTGATTGTCAGTGGAATGTGTGTTCTACGCTGGAACTATCTTCGGTGGATTGTGAGTGGTGCCAAAAAAGCCGGAAAAATCAGAGGTCCACTGGTTTTGCGTAAGATCAAGAGACTTGTGAGCGAACTAAACTGATATCATCTATAACACAAGTGCAAAAGAGCATCTACTCACAACGTTAGCTACCAAACGCTCGCTGAATGAATTGTAGCTGGAAAACAACTGCATAGTTAAGGACAGAAGACATGTGGATCCACAAGCCTTGGGTGCATATAGCATAAAGTACTGTGTGTAACTGCGTATGTTGGATGAACGGATGCATACGCAGGAAAATTCAGCAGTTAGTCCTAGTGTCCGAGAACCCATCAAAACCGAGAAGTAGGTTCCGTGGCGAAAACTCACGACGCGAGAAACTGCGTCTTACTCCATCGAAGGATTATGAAAAGTAAAACAATGCAAAAGACAAACCTGTAAATTCTTTAGTCGAATGCACCATCGGAAATAACAACTATCTGTTGTGATCAGTAAAGCAACGAAGGTAGGTGGAAAGAAGATGCCCATAAAACACATAAGTATATAATCGTAAGGGAAATGAAACGTCAAATAGATAGTAAACCAGCAAAAGGGATGAAAAAGTACGAGTAGAATTGTTGAATGCGACAAGCAACAATGAGAAACAGAAAGTCGAAGACAAGACGCAAATGTATCCTTGAAAGCATCATGCCAAGTCAAGTCAAAATAGAATATATACACCTAAATAGGTGCAATATCAGTATTTACACTATCACTGCTGATACACTGAATGAATGGGACCAGTTAGAAATACATAAATACAGATATGAATTAGACAAAGGTATGTATGTGCAATTCAAGAAGCCACATACGCAAATCATTTGTGACTTTCATAGGGTCGACAAGAAAGCGTGATAAATAAGGCAAGATTGTGTTACGATACGAAGAAGTGCGACAGAATAAGATCTTAAATTGTGAGCGTGTATGGGAGACAGATAACGTTTGTGAGAGAGCATTATGTAGCGGATGAAAGCATTCACTTAGGACCTTAGAAGAAAAGTTCACGCAAGCGTCGAAATGCTTATGCGCAATAAAGTCAACTATGGAATCTCGCAGTAAGCCAGAACATCTAGAAATAAGTTTAATCGATCGCATAATCAAAACATAGTCATTTTGCAATAGTCCAGGGAAGATTACTGGGGAACAGTACAACCAGTGTGGCAGTATACATGCAGTTACAAATCTCAAAATTACGCTTCGCGGTATGGAGAACATCTTAAATCGGAAAGCATAAAAAGATAACCTTCTGACCTTGTGAAAGGTCTCCAAAAGGTGCATGGACCGAGAGGTTTTGTGACAAATAGACACCGAGATATTTGATGATGGATCAAATAGGAATGGTTTTGTCCTCCAAAGTTAACAGAGTTATCTAAAATTACTCGCAATTGATTAGGGCGTAGAAATGAAAATGTTGCATCAGTAGATTTCAAAGCATTAAGGTTAAGGGACCTGGTTGAGGACCAGGTCACAAGTTCGTCTAAACCACATTGAAGCGTAGACGTCTCAGTGGTGGGAGATCTGCACCCCAGGACAACATCGTCAGCATATTTACAGCCAATGAATGTTGATGGTACAGGGAGACTTTCGACATATAAAGAGAAGAAAATGGGTGAGAGGATTGCGTCCTGCAAAACACCACAATCAGCGCGGAGCATAGAGGAGCTTTTGCCTTAAAGTGCAGCGAAATAGTCACGCAACAATAGCGCAGAGGCTATTAAATGCACAAGGTACGAGCTAGCGTCAAGCGTGGAGCGCTGGGGCCTAAACGCAAACCGGTAGACATCATCAGCATGCGTGGCTGTGGATATTCATGGAACTAGTAGCTTTTCGAGAACATTTAAAAGCACGGAAATACAAGCAATAGGCCGATACTTGTGAGATTCCTTGTTAGGAATTGGCGTTATTCTGGCTGACCTGCAGATGTCAGAGATGGCACCGATCGTGAGACAATTCTTAAAAATAACAGAGGTAATGTAAGGGAATCGGCGCACTGCTTCAAAATTACGGGTAACAAGTTATCAGGGTCACTAGCTTTATTTGTATTTGGCGTATTGAGTTCTCTGTTGACGTCAGCTTGATCAAACAAGGCGGTTAGGTATAAGCTAGTGAAGGAGGGTAATGAAAAAGAGCTCGACGGAGAGAAACTAAATTCAGAATTGAGTTTGTTGACATCTACGATTCTAGTACCTCTGATGTGCTTTTACCACAGATTCGCTTCAACAGCCTCCATAGATCCCGGCAGTTATGGGTTCCCAGTATCGTTTCAATGTATAAACTGTTTAGCCTTGTTATTTCAGCTATAATCGCTCAAGTCAGGCTTTTGATTAGGGTGGTCATTTTGAGTTAGCAAGCACCATTTTTTGAAGTTGTTTCAGCAGGGATGAGGAAAATCTATTTCCTCCCAGGTAGATCGTCTGGATAGAGCAGCATAGGTGGAAGGAGAAGTTTACGTAACTCGTGAGATGATCGCATTGAAGCGATAAATCTTTGTCCAAAAACTGAAATATCGGTTAAGGAAAGCGTTGCTTGAAGTCGTGCGCTATTTTCCGCTGAACAATTGCATCGTTGGATAGTCCCGAAGTGTCGTTTCGTCAGTGCGGCATAGTTAGTTTTACTGTAGATGGTAGGGTAACTATTTGGAATACAATGATATGAGTTACTTAGTGGTGTATCCATTTGAATGGAAAACAAGCGAATTTCGTTTGTGTAAACAACATCAATCTGTGCGTCTTGTCTGGTTGGAAAAGTTACTAAAGTTGCCACGTCAAGTGAGCTGAAGAGCGTTGCATCACATCTAGTCACCGGCGATAATGCAGGCAAAGCATTCTAGTTTCGGCAGCAATACCAAAGAAAGTTGCTCAACCAAAAGCTTCAGTTCGGACGACGAGGTATTATGGGCAATGTAGAAGTTTCCGATAACAAAGGATTCGAAGTCACTGAGAAATTTAGGCTTGCATTCAAGTAAATGACAGCTAATATAGCTGGTAGAGTGAGTGAATAGTTGATTGACCGAGTTGCACCAGTTGGTTAACTTAGGTGCTGACGCCGCCACCACGATTCCTTAGCATACCTAGGCGATCGGACCTAATCGCACCGTATCCACTGATATTAATGACTCCATCTTCAATATCAGGGTACAACCAGCTTTCTTGTAACGTAATAATACCTGTTTATATATTCCCTTCGTTGCAGAAGAGCTGTGAGGTCAGTGATTTTTTCAAGCAATGAAGGCACACTGCTGGAGAGGATGCGTGGTCATTGCATTTTCTGCAAAGAACATCGTCAGAGACCAATTTTGCAACCAGCGTGATGTTTCCTCATCTTGCCATTATGTTTTCTCACAATCCGTTTAAAAGCGTTCTTGGCTTTATGACCGTAGTAGACGAAAGGCATTTTGCGAGCCGCATATCGAAATGATTACAAAATATTGGCGGAGTAGGATAGCATTGGTAACTAGGAGATGGTTCAGTGAAACAAAACTGATAAAGTAAAACAACATAGGTTATAGGTCCGAGATAGATAGTGTAAAAGACAAACGATGTTCCAAGAGGCAACAGCAACGGCCAATTTGAAGGCCCCCTCGAACGATGACTCTAAGTTTAAAATGTTTTGGAAAACTGGTAGCTCGGGTTGATAATTCAGTTGCTCATTTGTTCGCCGAGCTGCGAAATTGGTTTGCAAACGTTTCACCGTCATGCGAGACAACATTATCAGTGCGTCGAGATGTGGAGTGTAATCTCGCTGATTACACTCGCGAGATTACACTCCACATCTCGACGCACTGATGATGCCGTCTCGCATGACGGTGAGACGTTTGCAAACCAATTCCGCAGCTCGGCGAACAAATGAGCAACTGGATGACTCTAAGTGCTGAAACGGCGCCCCACTGCCCATAACACAGCACTGCATAACTCAACCGTCCGGGAAAGAGACTGCAAGGGTAGTGATTGCCTGAGCCCTACATCCTCGTTGGTATCCTATTCACGATATGGTGCATCCGTTGACTGATACCACGTATCCAGCTGTATGCAGAGAGATATCAAGCCGTGGTTGTACAGGACAGCCCGCCGGATAGTTCACCAGCCATCAAAGAGACGGTAGCGAGATTTGGCCCCGATAAAATGACCACAGTTACACTTTTGGTGAATACATGGCACTCCCAAGTCTGGTGAGCACCTAGTTGATAGACGACACATGGGGCCCTGTGCACGAAGATCAATCTTTAGACACCGTGTGGACATAATTCGAGGATGCAGACCGAGGGGACACGAAAGGAAACGTCTGAGTCAAATGCTTTTCAGCTAGAAGAGGTGGTGCTGAAGACAAGACATGAGACATCGAACACTTATGTGCCTCGACGGGGCACATTATTGTGCATGAATTTTAATCGTGACTTCTACTTTTTACAAACTTTACACTACTCACAAACATCCAAAATTAATCTACCATCGCCCACTGGACATCCGAAGGACAGGTACTTCGGTCCATTGGGAAGTGACGGGTGAGTGAGCCAATCTGCAACACCAGGACAGGTACTGTGAGCTCATTGGCAATACGTCGTGCACCAAGCAGAAGTCATGTATTAAAATTTGCGCACCTAATCGTCAGCCCTCGGTAGCTCAGTGGTAGAGAAGCAGACCGGAAATTCATGGACCGGAGTTCGGTTCCCCGTCGAGGCACATTATTGTGCGTGAATTTTAATCGTGACTTCTACTTTCTACAAACCAATGGAGAAGTGTTACCATGCGGCTGAGCTAGTGGTATTGCATCAAGTCAGAAGGTTGCTCTGTAAATCCAACCTGGACAGACCGGACACTCAAGTTACCGTCTCATGCATTTACCTCTTTAATTGTACTTCGGTAGTAAGTACCTAGGCCGAACTGAGAGAAGGCTGTCAGCGAG